AAAATGAGCCTCGCTTATACCCCTCCGATACCTACTTAAAAACAGTGCTTTTTGGGCGGAGAGGCTTTTTGGAAGGAAGTCTTGATGATGCAGACCAAGCCCCGCTGAAGCATCACCCAGGCCCAACCCCAGACCTTGACGATGTCAGCCACATGGCCTAAACCCTGCATATACGCGATGTTTCGCGAGGGTTTCCCACAGTCAAGCAAAACCGCAAGCCCGAGCTGGTGATGCAGAGGTGCCGGATTTAGGCCGCGCATCACGACCAAGTGGCGAGGGTCGGCGGCACCAGGGTGCAGCCCCTATAGCTAAAGCTAGCAGGCTAATTGCCTAGCGGTGACATGCTACCCCAAGGAGGCGTAGCCGGATTTACACGCTGACGCGACACAGCCGGCCACCGGGCACCTTGCCCTGCTCGTTCTGTGACTTCCCTTTCCTGTAAGTCCGATTAGTAGATGTTAAGATTTTCAGATTCTAAAAACTTTGAGATTCTAAGGGTCTCAGATTTGAAGACTGTCGGAATTTAAGGTTTCAATGGTTTAAGAATTAAGGTTTTAAGATTCAAAGATTTAAAGTTTTTGAAGGTTATAACAGCCAGGCCATTGCCCAGCCATTTTCCATCTATTATCAGATTTCGAAGGCTTTAAGATTTTATTTTTCGGAGATTTTCAGATTTGGCGACTTTCGGAATTTAAGATTTTAAGATCTCAAGATTTCAAGGCTTCAAAGTTTCAAGATTAAGAGTTTAAGGAATTTAAAATATAGCCCGGATTGAAGGAATTTTATTATATTTTACTTGTTTATGAAGTTAAGATTTTCAGATTGCAACAGTTCGAGATTTAAAGAATTTAAGTTTTGAAAGCTTTTCAGATTCTGAGATTTTAAGACTTTGAGAATTTAGGAAGTTCATATTTTTAGATTTTAACATCTGAAGATTCAAAGATATTCGGGTTTTAAGAAGTCAAGATTCGAAGACTTTAGGATGTTTATATTTTCAGATTGTAAGATTCGATCTTCTAAGGTTGTAAGTTTAAGATCTTGAGGTTTCAAGATTTCCAAATTTCAAGAGTAAGAGTTTAAGACTGTAGGAATTTCATATTTTAAGAGTTTAAGATCGCAAGATTCTAAGACATAAGGGTTTTAAGATTTCAAGATTCGAAGACTTTAGGATGTTTTTATATTTTCAGATTTTAAGATTCTAAGTTCGAAGATTTTAAGATCTCGAGATTCTAAGATTGATTGTTAGATTTTAATTTAAGATTTTAAGAATCTAAGACTTTAGGATTTTGAGATTTCAATCCAGGCCATTTTCCATCCATTTTCCATCCACTTTAAGATTTTAAGATTTTCAGGTTGCACGTTTTCGGCAAAGTTGGCCCGACTTAGGGGACAACATCCCCAGCATCCCCCGAGACTTTAGGATGTTTTTATATTTTCAGATTTTAAGCTTTAGGATTTTGAGATTTCAATCCAGGCCATTTTCCATCCATTTTCCATCCACTTTAAGATTTTAAGATTTTCAGGTTGCACGTGTTCGGCAAAGTTGGCCCGACTTAGGGGACAACATCCCCAGCATCCCCCGAGACTTTAGGATGATTTTATATTTTCAGATTTTAATTTAAGATTTTAAGAATCTAAGACTTTAGGATTTTGAGATTTCAATCCAGGCCATTTTCCATCCATTTTCCATCCACTTTAAGATTTTAAGATTTTCAGGTTGCACGTTTTCGGCAAAGTTGGCCCGACTTCGGGGACAACATCCCCAGCATCCCCCGCATCACTGGCATCATCCGCATCAATGTCCGCCAAGGATGCGGATGATGCAGGTGATACCGGGGATGTTGTCCACTATGGGCACCCCCCAAAAAACACTCGTTTTTTGATTCTGCGGGGGGATGCTCAAAAAGCCGCCAAAAATCGCCTGAACAAATCCGCAAATCCTTCGCCCCTTATAAGGGTGGGCCCAGCTTTGCGCAGCGCAAAAGTATAGCGCATGGTCGGCGGTGGTCGGCGGCACAGGGCGGCCGGCCCTGTACCTGAAGGTAGGCCCTCCGGGCCTAGGCCTTCGGCCGTATCACGGACCACGGGGTCAGAAGCCCCCGGTGGCCGGACTTAAGGGCTGCCGCCCAGTGCCGTCGACCCCATACAGTCCAAGGCCGCGCATTCGTCTGACAACCGTCATCATGAGGATGATGAGGAAGATCATGATGATGACTGTGACGATAACCATCATCGTAGCATCCTTTGCATCACCAGTGCTGCCTAATGAGAGATGATGATGACCGTGATGAAAATGATGGTAAGGATGAGGACTGTGATGATAGCTATCATCGTAGCATCCTCGGCATCACCAGCGCCGGCTAATAAGAGATGATGACAACCATGAGGATAATGATGGCAAGGATGAGGACTGTGACGATAACTATCAGCATAGCATCCTCTGCATCGCCAATGCTGTCTAACGTCACTTTTGAAGTGCATAAAAGAACAAGACAGAGATGATGATGACCATCATGATGATGATGAGAAGAGTGATGATGATGACGACGACCATCATCATGATGATGATGGTAAGGATGATCATGCTGATGATTGTGAGGATGACCGTGATGATAATGATGACAAGGATGAGGACTGATAACTATCATCGTAGCATCCTCGGCATCACCAGTGCCGGCTAATAAAAGATGATGCTGACCATGATGATAGTGATGATAAGGATGAGGACTGTGATGATAACTATCATCGTAGCATCCTCTGCATTGCCAATGCTGTCTAACGTGACTTTTGAAATGCATATAAGAATATGACAGAGATGATGACCATCATGATGATGATGATGAGAAGCGTGATGATGATGATGACGACGACCATCATCATGATGATGATGGTAAGGAAGATCATGCTGATGATTGTGATGATAACTATCATCGTAGCATCCTTTGCGTTGCCAGTGCTGCCTAATGAGAGATGATGATGACCGTGATGATAATGATTATAGGGATGAGGACTCTCATGATAACTATCATCGTAGCATCCTCGGCATCACCAGTGCCGGCTAGTAAAGGATGATGATGACCATGATGATGATAAAGATGAGGACTTTGATGATAAGAAGGATGAGGACTGTGATGCTAACTATCATCGTAGCATCCTCGGCATCACCAGTGCCGGCTAATAAGAGATTTTGATGACCATGAGGATAATGATGATAAAGATGGTGATAACTATCATCGTAGCATCCTCTGCATTGCCAATGCTGCCTAACGTCACTTTTGAAATGCGTATAAGAATAAGACAAAGATGATGATGACCATCATGATGATGATGATGAGAAGAGTGATGATGATGATGACGACGGCCATCATCATGATGATGATGGTAAGGATGATCAAGCTGATGATTGTGATGAGGACCGTGATGATAATGATGATAAGTGAGGATAGCTATCATCGTAGCATCCTCGGCCAATGACTGTCATGATAACTATCATCGTCGCATCCTCTGCATTACCAAAGGTGCCCAAACACCACGTTTGAAATGTATAGAAGAAAGAGATGATGATGACAATCATGATGACGATGATGAAGGTGATGACTGTGACGCAAATCATCATGAAGATGATAAGGATGATGACTCTCATGATAACTATCATCGTAGCATCCTCTGCATGACCAAAGCTGCCAACGACTGTCATGATAACTGTCATTGTAGCATTCTCTGCATTGTCAATGGTGCCCAAACGCCACATTTGAAATGTGTAGAAGAAAGAGATGATGATGACAATCATGATGTCGATGATGAAGGTGATGACTGTGACGACAATCATCATGAAGATGATAAGGATGATGACTCTCATGATAACTATCATCGTAGCATCCTCTGCATTACCAAAGCTGCCAATGATAAGGATGATGACACTCATGATAACTATCATCGTAGCATCCTCTGCATTACCAAAGCTGCCAATGACTGTCATGATAGCTATCATCGTAGCATCCTCTGCATTACCAATGCTGCAGAATCAGAGATCCTGATGATCATACGGACAATGATGATAAGGATGATGACTGTCATGATAACTATCATCGTAGCATCGTCTGCATTACCGATGGTGCCCAAACGCCACATTAGAAATGTATAGAAGAAAGAGATGATGATGACATTCATGATGACGATGATGAAAGTGATGCCTGTGAGGACAATCATCATGAAGATGATAAGGATGACTGTCACGCATCATCACAGCATCCTCTGCATCGCCCCAAAGCTGCCAATGACTGTCATGATAACTATCATCGTAGCATTCTCTGCCAAATCAGAGATCATGATGATCATACGGACAATGATGATAAGGGTGACGACTGTCATGATAAGTATCATCACAGCATCCTCTGCATTCTCATGATAACTATCATCGAAGCATCCTCTGCATTACCAAAACTGCCGATGACTGGCATGAGCACTATCATCATAGCATCCTCTGCATTACCAATGCTGCAGAATCAGAGATCATGATGATGATACGGACAATGATGATAAGGATGACGACTGTCATGACAAGTATCATCACAGCATCCTCTGCATTGCCAATGGTGCCCAAATGCTATGATGATAGTTATCATGACAGTCATTGGCAGCTTTGGTAATGCAGAGGATGCTGTGATGATGCTTATCATGACAGTCATCATCCTTAGCATCTTCATGATGACTGTCATCACAGTCATTACTCTCATCATCGTCATCATGATTGTCATCATCATCTCTTTCTTCTATACATTTCAAATGTGGCGTTTGGGCACCATCGGTAATGCAGAGGATGCTGTGATGATACTTATCCTGACAGTCGTCACCCTTATCATCATTGTCCGTATGATCATCATGATCTCTGATTTTGCAGCATTGGTAATGCAGAGAATGCTACGATGATAGTTATCATGACAGTCATTGGCAGCTTTGGGGTGATGCAGAGGATGCTGTGATGATGCGTGACAGTCATCCTTATCATCTTCATGATGATTGTCCTCACAGTCATCACCTTCATCATCGTCATCATGATTGTCATCATTCTATACACTTCAAATGTGGCGTTTGGGCACCATTGGTAATGCAGAGGATGCGACGATGATAGTTCTCATGACAGTCATTGGCAGCTTTGGTCATGCAGAGGTTGCTACGATGATAATTATCATGAGTGTCGCCATCCTTATCATCTTCATGATGATTGTCGTTACAGTCATCACTTTCATCATCGTCATCATGGTTGTCTTCATCATCTCTTTCTTCTATACATTTCAAATGTGGCGTTTGGGCACCATTGGTAATGCAGGGGATGCTGATGATATTATCATGACAGTCATCATCCTTATCATCATTGTCCGTATGAGCATCATGATCTCTGATTCTGCAGCATTGGTAATGCAGAGGGTGCTACGATGATAGTTATCATGCTTTGCAGGTTTGGTAATGCAGAGGATGCTACGATGATAGTTATCCTTGTAGACTTGGGCGGCCCGAGACTTACCCCACGGGCCCAGTATCCCTAGCACTCCTTGTGCCGAAAGTAAGGGGCTCATTTTTTGAGATAGCGCCCCCTAAATGAGTCCCCTGTGTGGCAGCTACAATGGGCCAGAGCGGGGCGTTAAGCCCCAATCTTCAGCGGCCGGGGGGGCACCCGCAGCCCCCGAAATGCGGGCACTCACTTTTTTTTCTGCGGTAGGGAGCCCCTTCCTACAGCACTCACAGGTTGGTGAGCTGCTGCGCGGGCATCATCACCCCCATTATCATCATTAGCCTCATGGCTTCGCTGGGTGACTTTCCGTGATAGTCATCATCCTTATCATCTTCATGATGATTGTCATCACAGTCATTACTTTCATCATCGTCATCATGATTGTCATCATCATCTCTTTCTTCTATACACGATAAGTATCATCACAGCATCCTCTGCATTACCAATGGTGCCCAAACGCCACATTTGAAATGTATAGAAGAAAGAGATGATGAAGACAATCATGATGACGATGATGAAAGTGATGGTTGTGATGACAATCATCATGAGGATGATAAGGATGGCGGCTCTCATGATAACTATCATCGTAGCATCCTCTGCATTACCAAAACTGCCGATGACTGGCATGAGCACTATCATCGTAGCATCCTCTGCATTACCAATGCTGCAGAATCAGAGCTCATGATGATGATACGGACCATGATGACAAGGATGACGACTGTCATGATAAGTATCATCACAGCATCCTCTGCATTACCAATGTTGCCCAAACGCCACATTTGAAATGTGTAGAAGAAAGAGATGATGATGACAATCATGATGACGATGATGAGAGTAATGACTGTGATGACAATCATCATGAAGATGCTAAGGATGATGACTATCATGGAAAGTCACCCAGCGTAGCCATGAGGCTAATGATGATGATGAGGGTGATGATGCCCGCAGCTCCCTACCGCAAGATATCACATCTGGGGCCCGAAAAAACAGTGAGTACCCGCATTTCGGGGGCTGCGGGTGCTCCCCGGCCGCTGAAGCTTGGGGCTTAACGCCCCGCTCAGGGGACTCATTTAGGCTTGGGCGCAGGGGTATCTCAAAAAATGAGCCCCTTACTTGGCACAAGGAGTGCTAGGGATACTGGGCCCGCGGGGAAAGTCTCGGGCCGCCCAAGTCTACAAGCATGCCAAGGATGGGTGATTTCTTGCGGCAGGGAGACCCAGGGCCTGGAAAGTCGCCCAGCGTAGCCTCAGTGCGAGTAAAAATTGCCGGGCAAGCAGTTGGCGAAAACAAATCGAGAGCAGCGCATACCCTTTGATTAAACACGTTAAGAGTGGCAGAACCGGAAAGAACAGTCTTGATAACATCAACGCGTTGACAGGCAATCTGGGCACTGCTTTGAGAACAGACAAGTAACAGTGTGCAACGCAAAAACTTGCCAAACATTTCTGCATGATGAACAAACCTGGTTGATCCTGCCAGTAGTCATATGCTTGCCTCAAGGACTAAGCCATGATGATGACGTTGATGATGATGATGCTGATGATGATGATGACGATTATGATGAACCCAGCAGTCATACCTGTTGCATCCCAAATCGGATGATGATCATCATGACGTATCCTCAGCATCACAAGCAGTCATCATGATCATCATGTCTACGCAGCTTTTGCATGTCAAACCCTCTCTAACGCCACAATTGAAACGTATATCAAAAAGATAAGGATGGTGACGAGGATGTTGGCGAAAACAAATCGAGAGCAGCGCATGCCCTGTTATATGCTCATCTCACACCTGATAGCCTCGAAGGGCTCCCAGGCAGTATGACCCCCTTCGATTAAACACGTTAAGAGTGGCAGAACCGGAAAGAACAGTCTTGATAACATCAACGCGTTGACAGGCAATCTGGGCACTGCTTTGAGAACAGACAAGTAACAATGTGCAACGCAAAAAGTTGCCAAACACTTCTGAATGATGAACAAACCTGGTTGATGCTGCCAGTAGTCATATGCTTGCCTCAAGGATTAAGCCATGCAAGGGAATGATGATGACGGTGATGATGATGATGATGCTGATGATGATGATGACGATGATGATGAACCCAGCAGTCATCATGATAAGCATGTCCACGCACCTGTTGCATCCCAAAGCGGATGATGATCATCATGACGTACCCTCAGCATCACAAGCAGTCATCATGATCATCATGTCCACGCAGCTTTTGCATGTCAAACCCTCTCTAACGCCACAATTGAAACGTATATCAAAAAGATAAGGATGATGACGAGGATGATGATGTTGAAGGATATAGAAATGATGATGATGATGTTGACGATAAGAATGATGAAGGATCATATCGATGATGATGATGATGATGGGCATCCGTATGATGCCAGTAGTCATATGCTTGCCTCAAAGATTAATCGATGCGCTTGTACTGCAACCACCCTTCCCGTGCGCCTCCCCCTTTGAGGAGAAGGGGTCGGCGGATATAGAATTGTAAAAGCGGATGTGTTAGTTTCCAAGAGCCAGCTTCTGCCACGTTCACTCCGCTCCCAAATTGTTGGCCACAAGGGTCCTCATATTCCCCCTCCTTTCGCAGTTTAAATCACCCAGATCCTGTTTGGGGCATTCCCCAGCTGAGGAAGAGCCGTGCAGATGTGGTGGCCGCGCCAGCCTCAGCTAGAAGTGAATTTGTGGGGCAGTCTTGTCCGTGCATCTTGAGCCAACTGCATGTTCTTTGAAAAGCGGTTTCAACATTTGCCAATGGATTTCTGCAAACCGGGAGCCCCCTCCAAAAGGATTGAACGCGCATGCCGCATGCCGGGACCCCAGGGACCCCACTCACACTCGCCAAGGTTTCGGCAAGACACACGGTTGCCCTTGTCCGTGACTCGCATATGTTGACCGTGGCTTAACAGGGTAGCGCTTTGCTTGCGATTTCAACATTTCAACCAACGAAGTCTAGTTGTTTTAAATTGGGTGAGCATTGGGCATGGTAGCCGTTTCCCTATCTTGCATGGTACCCCGCATTTTTAACTAGGCCTTCTACCAAGGCGTTGGTTGCAGGACAGGTCCCAGAATCAAGGCAATCTCTGCGCCTTGCCTTTCACAGCGGGATTCGCGCTTTGCTTTGGGCCGTCCGGGCCCCACTTTCGGCGAGGGTTCCGACGTCCAGTTCCCGTCCCAAAATTGGAAGAAATAGTTTTCATTTGGGAGCCAACGCCCCCCTAGTTTCGGGGCATGGCTATGATTGGACACGCCCAAAATCACTCTTTGCATCTTGGAATCCAGAAGCGGTCAACTTCACAATTCGTTGGACTGGGTAAGCTCCAACACATGAAGCACCAGACACACAAGGCTGCCCTCCGAACATGTGCTGTTGTTGTTTGATTGCACCTCTTTTTTAGTTTTTTTTAGGGTGTTTCCTTGCGAAATGGAAAACAAACCTGCAACATTCCTAGAATCGGGTGTTGTGCACCCCAGGGACTTGAAGACGGGGTTCAAGTGAACCCCACATTCACCGGGTATTTGCATCTCAACATGAAGCTCCCGGCTTGCTTCAGAAAGGCCAAGGCTTGCCTGCCGAGGTTGGCACCACTGGGAAGCGCTCTGCAGCTCGAGTGCAAGCCGAGTGTTGTCTCTCTGGTTCTCTGTGTCTCTCTCTCTCTCTCTCTCTCTCTCTGTCTCGTTTGACACCTCGTTTGACAACTAGACCCAAGGAAACCAACATCACGCCCATTTTTGCAATGTTGAGTGGATCTAAACCAGTTCAACGGCGTCACAACACTCCATTCAAAGCCCTTTGTAGAGAATCCAAAAGGGCGGCTTAGTGCTGTCTGATGTTGATCTTCATCTACCACATGTCCGTTCTGGGCTGTTCCAAATGGGGGGGACTTGGCCGTGGGAACCACTATTATACACAGGGAACCCAAAACATGTCCTTGTCTCACAATAAGGGCAACCTGCAGTCTCCGGCCAGTTTCACGGAAAACAAGCCCAAACAAGAAAGAGAGGAGGGAGAGAGAGACCGAGAGAGAGAGGGGGAGAGAGAGAGAGCGGTTTCCATCAGCGGCTGTCACTTGAAGTTTTGCGAAGATCTCTCTTCAATTGCGTAGTCTTTCTGCCGTGCTCTCTCTTTGGCGCCCGGACCTGTGCCTCTACACGCACACCATTTTGGACCTTAAAAACTGTCAAACATGTGTGCCCCAATGCCATACTGAAGTCATGGTACATGCAGGCGACTTTCAGGCCAAGCCCCAATGTGTGTGCTCCGTTCATGCTGCAACACAGTCGCCCTCGGGCCTCCTGGTGATGGACCAATGTGCCAGCGCAAATGTTCAACCAATGATTCGCTGCAGAAGACAGGTTTTTTTTTTTTAACTAGCCCCCGTTTCAAGACAACGTGCCAAAAGCTCCAAGTGTTTCCTCAACCCGGCCCGCAGAAACAGGCTGGGGCATGTTCAGTCATATTACGCAGCTATACAATGTTTAAGCAAGCCGCACCCTTACACCTTTGGCTCTGAATTCCAAAGTGGACATGACTCAAAACCTCAAACCCAGTGATTTCCCAGCGAGGGTAATGGACGGCGTACAAAAAGCTGAACCTCCTTGACGATGCCTTGAGTACGAACGACCCATGGTCTTTGCTCTCCGTGCTTTCCCACATCCACAGACTTGCAAGTCTGATTGTTGCTGATTTGAGCCACACTCCGAACTAAGGTAAGGTCTGTGGGGGGACGTTCACAAGCATAAACAGAGGCGGCCACCCTTGAAGTTTGTTTCAGTCCTTTCACAGCGGGCGTCACTTACGACTCCTTTGGCTCGTTCCATCCTCTCAGGTCATGTTTGGTCTTGCCGTGATGCTGGCCGTGATGGATCAGGCCAGCATTTCTGCACAGGTGGCTTTTTCCAGCTGCTCCATGGTCAAATGACCTCGTTTGCATGCCTGGCGCTGATTTGGGAATGAACACGTGGGATCCATGACCATTTCAACTAGGAGTGTTGACCGCGACAGAGACACTCCCCAGGGTCAAACATCTAACAATGAGTACATGTTTGACAACCGCCATGGTCAGTCCGAAAGTTGTTCAGATGCGGCGCATTGAATTTCGGCAAGGTCAAGCTCGATGACTCATCACTCAAGCTTGTCCTCACCGTTTGGTAGCTTGATGTCACAATGCGCCGGTGATTGTTTGATTGCTCCCCAGTCAGCGCCAGTCTTTCTAGCATGGCACATCCAGCATTTGTTGCTACAGGCAGTTTAGCAGTTGAAGCCGGACTTCTTGCTATGTGTTGGGGTGAGCAGTGCGCATTATTTTGTCAAAGCTCGTCCCCCGTGAACCGCGCCATTTGTGAGTTTCCATGGGTTGGGATGATGTTTGAAGGGGACATATTTGGATCGAAGTGTTTGCCGGTGGAGACATGCAGGCCTCATCCTTGATGCTCGACCGTGATGTGGCGGAGAGCCGGGGGCTACTCGAGAAATGGGGATGCGAAAAGTTCCTCTCCAGTTCAGGGTCGAGGGTTGTGGGAGTGAGCTTGGATTTCTCATCCATTGCGAGATGAAGAATCTCGGAGGTTTCCACATCTCTGCCCCAGTTTCGTCAAATTTCTCCTCAAAGAGGGGCAAGGTGTGCCTTTCAACCGAACTGCCTCTGGTGACCCAGTGTCTTGCATTGCATGGGGCAGCCATCGGTGCAAGTTGGATGAAGTTGCGGGGTGGTTGGATGAAGTTGGGGGGGTGGCGAAGAAGACAATCATGACCGTTTCGCATAGCAGGAATGGCATGCTATTAAGATTGCGTGGCTTAACAGCGCTCACAGCAAGTGCGAAAGTTGTTGCACTCGTGCAATCTGAGCGTGCCACTGCGGCCTGCATGAGTTCGAATCTGTTTGAACTTGCTGTCAGCGCTTTTGCAGGTGCCGTGCAATCTATAGAAACCGCCACGCAGGTCCTCGAATTAGCCATGTTTGTCCAGTCTCCGGCAAGCCGTATTACCTTGTTTGTTTGATCAGTGGTGATGAGTTTGAACACCCCTTTCAGGGTTTCAGGTGGAAACCCCCCAGCAACAATACCCTATGAACCGCGAGCAACCGCTCACCCGCATATGCCGAAGACAAATGAGCAGGCCACCCCAGAAATTGAGGTTGCCTTTCGAGAGCTTTGGCAGACATGTAGATGCTTCCTGCCAACTGAAGACTATTTTACCTTGGGGTGTACGGAACGATCCAAAACGGATTTCCATTTCCCAGTACCCAGCAACGGCGGTTTTTTGCCATGTCCAAAATCTGCGTCCGAAAAGCCGCGGTTGGGACCCGGGTGCTGGTCCTTTTCAAGCCCTGAAGGGGTAGCGCCGGGTATGCGCCCAAGAAACCGCCGCGAGGAGTCGGACCCAAGCCTGCAAGATCCTCTGGCAGATGCCGTGGCCTTCGGCTGCGGAAATGTCTACCCTGGTTGGGACCCAAACTGATCCCTAAAGAACCAGAACGGGAAAAACTCAAAATAAAGTTATAAAACACCGCAAAAAAAAGGCAGGGCCCGCCAAACGTCCCGCACTCTACGGAACGGTATCAACTGCATTTGGGTTGGGATTCACATTAGGTTGGTATTGCCCCTTCAAAGGAACTGTATGAATGGCGGGGTGGGATCGAATGGTTGATTTGTGGGAATAAAGACATTTGTCCATGGTGGACGGGTTTTCTGGCTGCCAAGGGTGTTCCTTTCCCGCAAATGGCATGGGACCCACTTAATACCACTCGGCCTGAAAGCGCGGCTTTTGGAAGCCAATCATAGAAAAAAACAACATGTAATACATGATAGCGAATATCACAACATATATGCGATCATCTATAGATGAGCGACTGCTTTCTTTGTCACGGAAGACTACGGCAACGGCCGGGCGGAAGCATGTTTTACCTGCTGAATTAGGTGTAAAACGGGGTGGGAACATCCCCGCAAACGAGGTCGGGCCATAACATATAGGTGGTTTGAGATCACAAGCACATGCGGTGTTGGAAAACGAGGTAAATGTTCAACCATGCAGCAAGTAAATGGCGTAGCTCAGACAATGTTTCACTTGAGTTTCAGCTTTCTGTCCTTTTCCGTGGTAGTGGCACCCAGTATATATGGCCATGTTAATAAATGCATAATGTATATATATATATATACACACTAGTATAGTATGTACACATGTATTCACCTATATTGAAACTCGTTTGCACATTTGTGTTTAACAAATGGAACTGCTAGCTTTCATTTTAGGTCCTGGCCCCCTACGCTGGCATTGGCCGAGGTTCTTATGGCTGTGCACAAGAGGTGTCAGGTGAGAGCCTCAGGGGGCCTTTGTGGGCAGGGTCATGCTTCCCTCTCATGAAAGCTTGTCGAATGAACAGTAACATGTTTGGCAGGAAGTCTGATAAAGGTCGATGATGTACAGGATCAGCTTTTTGTTTGCACCCCAAGGAACTCGTATCAAGAGTTTGCAAGTATGCCTCACAAGGGGACTTTCTGTTGGAGAACAAGATCTGCGCTATGCTCCACTTGGTGGTGATTGACAATGAACAGGATTCCTGCAGCGCCTTGTTCCATTCCTTGTGGTTGTTTCGGGGTATTTCCCATGGAATGGGAGGGTTCATAGACATCCCGACAGTATTTCCACAAGAAGAAATGGGGGGGGGAAGCCCTCGACTGATACCGAGGAACCGAGATCCCAGTAATCTTATGTTTGCTGCTCAATATGAGCAAGAGTGACTCCTGACAATCATTGATGACAAGGGCGCACCAACCAAACCAGTACAACTCGACCCATTGTCACCCAGTTCACTCCTGCGGCATTCTGGTAAAGGGTACTCCCTAGGAGCTAAAAACATCTCCATGTGGGTAGAACCAAGCATCAGCTTTGAGGGCTGCTGAAGCCTGGCTGCCGACTGGCCAGACAATGCCCGTGAACCTTTCGAGCCTAGATCCCTGAGGGATTGAGCAACAAACAACAAACGGAAGCGTTTCACAACGAGTTCTGCCAGCTCCTCCCGATGAGCACCTAATCGTTCAACCTTGGTTCAAATGCGTGTTTTTTGTTTGTTTGTTTTTTTTGGGGGGGTGCTAGGGACAAGGCTTTGCCTCGCACCCTGGATGTGGTTGATGGTGAGTTTGCATACCCGAGAGGCTTGCTCTGGCGGACTTGCCCTTTTTCCCTTCTTATTCTGTGTCCCTAGCAGATTTGTTTCTGACAGGCGCCATTTGTGAAGAGGTGGTGTTTAGGATGGGATCCCTCGTTTTGTGGCATACCACAAATTTTCAGTTTGGCCTTGGTGTTATGTGGATCCATCGCTTGCGCACATTCAAACATGCTCCAATAGGCTCCACACGCTGCCGCATAGGCTCCGCGTAGGACCGCTTGTTTGCACAAGCAAAGACAGGCTCGTCAAATCCGCTTTCTGGACCAACTTCGGAAAGGGAGATCGAGGTCCCCTGAAAGACATGTGGCTGAACGCGTTGCGAGCTGCGGTGCCGAGTCTCTGGCTTTGGGCAGCCATTGTGGGATCGTGGCGGCTAGTTTGGGAGAGCAGATTTTGAAGATAGAGGCCAGCTTCAAGAACGTGAGATAAAGCCAACCAATAAAGCACCGCGCGGGTTTCGCGCATTCCGCAACTCCAGAGCTTGGGGCCATCTTTAGACAGTTGCCCACTGAAGCCTTTTCCTTTTTTTACATTCTCCCTTGTTTTCAGAAGGGGTTCTCCTTTTAACCAAGCAAATTTGTCAACGTCTCTCACGTGTCGCCGGCAAGGACAAGTCAATCCTATGGGATTCCTTCGCCAAAGTGCCGAGGTTGGCAGGGCCCTCAGCTGAAGACGGCGCATGGGATATGTTGTTGTACCCTTCCCCCAAGAAGCATAAAAGTGCACAGGCCCCTTCCCATTTACTTTGTTCTACTATTAGTTTATTAAAAACATTAAGTATTCTTAGTTTAATTAGGAAATAATTCATTTGACTAGCTAACATATAACTAGGAAAGTAGTCTTCCCAGAGGGGCCTGTAGCCTCTTCCATGTTGGTTGGAGGGTAGATTGCTGACCAAAAATGGAGGCTTCACCTGGACTGGTCAGAGGCGAGCCTTGGACGAAGGGATTCAGTCCCCATTCTCCTTGGTGGATTCTGCGTTTCCGACAGGCGTTGCGGATTAGGATTGTCCAAGCCATTTAGAACAGCCCAGAACACATATCGGTGTCGTTCTTGTTGCTCCTCGATTCAGTATATGCAAAGGTACGGAGTTGTCGCGGAAGGCCGCGGAAGCTTTGCGGAAAGGTTTTGTGGAACGGTCTCGGTGTGTTTGTGCCGAGACAGCTGTTTCGACAAGCAAATGACACTGGTGCCAACGAAGCTGCTTTTGTACCAAGAGACTGAGGCGCGTGCAACAAAAAGGCTGGAGGGAACCCAACAACAGAATCCCAAATGCGGATTTCCGCGGAAGCTTTGCACAAGGGGCACGGAAGGGGAGCCTGCCTTCTCGTACCAGATGCCGACTCCTAGACCACCAACTCGTTTTGTCACCGCTCACCGGACATTGCGGGTTGTCAAGACTGGGGACCTGTTTCTGTGTCATGTCGAGCCGTCGTGAACATGAGTGGGGCCCACACAGGGTCATTTGTTCAACCGCGCATGATGTTTGCAAGCCATGAGAATATGACCTGGCGAGGGCCGACAGCACATTGCAAGCCACGACCTTAGGCCCAGGCTCCGCTCAGAGTCTCCGCCAGGGGCCCAGACGGGCTTAGCCGCACGAGGAAACGTGTCTTGGCGGAATTGATTACCCACATGTTACAAAGGGAAGGGGAACAAATCCGAAAGCAAGCAGTTCATGAACCAATAGCCAAATTCCAAGCCAAGAAGAATCAAAACCAGCATTCCCCAGCGTTGGGTGTTTGCCTTCATTTGCTGGCAACAATGGGCGGTCGATTCTGCACATTGGCTATGTGTTGTTGTCTTCAGTTGTGTATTAGGTGTAGTGCCATCACCCCCGAGATATTTTATTGGTCACGAGGGACTCCGTGTTCAGATGAAATCAGTACTGGAGGGTCCCAGATGTTGCAGGCATACAACATTTGCGACATCAACCCTGTATCCCTGGCAACCGCTTGTTTGCCACAATTGCTTGCTTGCCGGGAGCCTGATCCCTGAAAAAAACTGTACAGGGTGGTTGACAGCAAAAAGCACAAGGGGGACCGGCAGTTTGGGCAATCATGGAGTCGTTGTTGTCCCTCCTTGTTGTTTGTGCCATCTATCCGCAACACCTTCACTGGGTCACTCCAAAGGGCATGTCCTCTTGTTATAGAGTTCTTAGCGGTTGTTGGCTTGGCCAAAGTCACCAAAGATTCGATGGTAAAGGCCGGCCCGCTTGTTCGCTGAAGCCTAGGGGGAGGGTCCCACAGATTTTAAAGGGGAACACCTGTGGACATGACTCCACTGCAAATATCCTCGAAAGGGTCCAACATGGGCCAACCAATTCACATTTTCCTCAGAATCCCCTGTGATGTTGAGCTGCCTGGGGAACTTCTTCTGCCACCAGGGGTTCGAAGCTCAAACTGAGCGCGGGAAACCATGGCATTGAGCGCAGATTCGAAATACAAAACGGGCGCATGGTACCGAGCTACCGAGCTCACCGAGCTGCATGTGGATGCATTGTGCCGGCCTTCACTCTTTCCAAATGTTTCAACCCCGAGACTGCCTAGGGGGTGTCCCAATGCTAAATGTTGCTGTTTATCGAGTGCTCGTGTAACGGAAGGCAGCTGGTTCGCGGTGAGCGTCTTTGCAAAACCCATTTCAAGCGGCACGAGATGCGGTTTTGCACGCGCTTGAGGGGGCAGTGTCGCGTGACAACTGAAAGGGCCTTGTTGCGGCTCCTAGCTGATGTGTGACATTGTTGCTATGCGCCACGCAGATTTCAGTGCATTTTTCTTGGTTTCTGCTTGGCTGCTTGCCTTGGCTGCACCCATGCTACAGCCTTGAGCCAGCTGCTGAGACGTCCGGCTTGCAGCCCTCTTCCATGCCTCTTGATGCTTTGTGGACAGCTGGGCCTGTGAGCAACTTAGATCCGACAGCAACAACCGTGGCCGCCCAGCTATTTTTTGGGGGTCACAAAGCAACCCATTTGATCACCAGAAGCCTCACCCGCTTGTGGACACCCGTCTTCCCAGGAGTCTGCCCCTGTTCGCTTTAGGCGAGATCTGGTGCCAGCAGAAGCCGAAGCGCCGAACCACGAGATCGCTCCAGGAGGAGGGTGAATGATGGTGGGGGTGCCAACCTGAAAGAAACCAATCCAGCTTTTCCCATGGGAAAGGGTGGCCGGCTGGCCCGGTTTTTCCCCATCTGGAGCCCTTCCGTACCCTCAACGCAGGAGAAAAACACCACCAGGGTCGCAAAAATGGACGGAATTCCTTTGGCTTTGTGCCGGAGAAAAACAACAAGGAGAAAAAAAACAAGTCCACCCGCTTGGGGACACAGAACTGCGAAGTTTTGCACCATGTGGCTGATCTTTGCCTGGGCTTTGCTGGGTTTCGCTGGAGCTCATAGCTCTTGTCAGGTGCCATAGGGACACTCATCTACCTGTGGTTCTCTTACCAACACTGTTCCCCACAGTTCCCTCACGAGAGATTGGCTTGGATTTTCTCTCTAGACAACCCCATCCCCCCCCATTTTCCAGTGAACTTGCGAAGGAGGAGGCCCCGGCGATCAGATCATCCGCGTGAATCTGCCGATGCCCCAAGGGGGCATGGAGTTGGCAAGGTTGCTTGCACGTTTGGCTTTTCGAGCCTGGTGTAAACAACACCGCATCACTTCGAATTTTGATGGAGTTTCCTTAAGGCTGATTTTTAAGAGGACAGATAGAAACCTGCAACCCGGGCATTTCGAGTGTGTTTGGACTGGCCACCTTAGCGAGCGCAAAACCTGAATAGCTCCTCTCCCGATGCCATGTCCCTGGGGGTCACGCAGTGGCCAAGGGGGGCAAGCTGCTCACAATAAAAGCACAACTGGGTAGATTCTGATACTGCACAATCCATTGGCCTTAGGATGTTGGTGTTTGTGCACCTCCAAACAACGAGCGAGCCAGCAAGCAAGTAAGCAGGAAATCAAACCGGCCCTGCTTATTTTGATGCCATAGTTTGGACATTCAATTATCCGACGCTTGGTTTGATTGATTGGGTGGATGTGTTTGTTGGGTTTAGCAATAAGCTAAGCGCCCAGTATTCTGAGTCAGAACGAGTCGTTTTAAGCCAGTTGCGTATTGAAAGTAAACCAGCCACAACCCAGCTTTCCGCACGAGCGTCATTATGGCCCAATTTTGTCGTGACTTCGCCGGGGGGGGGGGGGGCAACACTGGTGAAGGTTCCTTTTTCACATACCGACTAAACCATCTATCAGTCTATCTACCGATTGCGCACTAATCTACAAGATGTTTTAAATTCGAGGGGGTATGCAGCCAGGGTACACCACATTGTTTGGTATTAAATTCTCAGCTAAGGATAATATGTTGAACCAGTATTATTGATAGTCTGTGTTCATTTAGGGAGGACATCGGGGGCCCCACTGTCCTCCATTCTCTCACCAAAAACTAGGGGGCCTATCTAATTGGACCAACTGTAAGTACTATTGTCCGTGGCTTGTCATACTTTGTCCCGCACCATGGCCCAGTCGAAGCGACGCCGCTCGCTGAGCGCGGGTGATCTGGACAGAGCGCTAGAGGTTCGGGATGGGAGACGGAGGAGACTTGTGGAAGACTCAAAGCATCGCATATGTGTTTGCTGATTCAAGGAACTTGTCTATATAAGCACCCTTCATGTTTGTTTGTGCCCCCGGGATCTCTTCTAACAAACCTAGTTGGTGTGCACATATGCATTTGTAAGCGGAAGCCTTTGAGAAAATCTTTTGGCAGGACCTTTGAGGAGCCCCTGGAACGACTAGAAGAGGTCCGGTATGCTCAAGGGTCTCTGCATTGTGTTCTTCTTATCCCACAAGACATAATATAAACAATGCCTCAGTTTCTGGAATACCCCGTTGTGGTCAGCCAAAAATGCTAAAGGCACTGCTCGGATTCAACTTAGCAAATGGCAAAAACAACCAAGAAAAGGGCTTGCTTGAAGACAATGCTACGGTAGATGTCGAACTTTCTGGAACTGCCTCCCTTCGCACTGAAATGTGGCTTGCCAATGAACATGTGCCCGAAGGCAGTTCTTGCCATACAGCCTTGCGTGAGACATGTGTTTGTTTGTCACGTAAATCTGCTATCACATCTAATCCAGGAGGCAAGAACACCCCTTGGAAAGGCTCAAGTGAATCGGCTTGGATTGAAGTGGATCATGCTGTCCAACATCTGGTTCTCTTCTCAGTAGACTTTGCCTGACAGGAGCACACAAGAAAGAAGGATGTCATCTTGCGACGAACTTCCCAGGAGCCGCACATGCTGCAAGCTCGAAAGGAACACCGAACGACCCCGTAGGTATCTCATCAAACGGCTCAACCAACACTTAAGCACACCAGAAGCATGCCAACCTTTCTCGGACTCTTGGATTTTCTGCTGATGCGGGATATGGTCCAGCTATTTCTTGCAACATCTTGAAGACAGGGAAAAGAAGGCTGTACTGCGATCCCGATAAAACAGAACGCATGCGGCGTGGACATGGACCCTAAGCCAGTTTCCTTGACTTCCGCTCTTGGATGACTTGCATCTGGCACTCCTCAGCACGATGAGTTGTCGATAAAGTAAGCTCGCAGGAGGGTCTAAGAGCCGTTTTAGCAGGACGTTTTTTTGCCGCCGTTTGACTTGTGCATTTTGCACAACTGGGTTTGTCTCTAAATGGGATTCCAACTCAAAAGCACACCTTTTTTGTTGCCGCTTTTCCCAGCTGTGGGACCCAAAGTGGAGTGTTGAGTGTTGGTTCCTTTGAGCAATGCGCCAGACGTACATGGCTCCGGACCCCAGACGTGGAAGAGATTAAGGCCTGGGTATGGGTCCAAGAGGCCAGGGTCCGGGTTAGGCTGCCTGGATTTCGTCGAGATATTCCAAACGTGCCGCACTTTTTCGGTGGCAAAAGGACCACACTGCAGGCTTCAGCACCTCTGAGACTCCCAGTTGCCCAGTGGATTCCACTGCTTTGCTTGCTTGCTTGCTTGCTTGCTGGCTGGCTGGCTGGCTGGCTGGCTGGCTGGCTGGCCAGCCAGCAAGCAAGCAAGCAAGCCAGCCAGCCAGCCAGCAGGCCAATCAGCCAGCCAGCAGGCCAATCAGCCATCAAGCAAGCCAGCCAGCCAGCAAGCCAGCAAGCAAGCAAGCCAGCCAGCAAGCAAGCAAGCAAGCCAGCCAGCAAGCAAGCAAGCCAGCCAGCAAGCCAGCCAGCCAGCCAGCAAGCAAGCCAGCCAGCCAGCCAGCCAGCAAGCAAGCAAGCAGGCCAGCCAGCCAGCCAGCAAGCAAGCCAGCCAGCCAGCCAGCCAGCAAGACAGCCAGCCAGCCAAGCAAGCCAGCCAGCCAGCAAGCAAGCCAGCCAGCCAGCAAGCAAGCAAGCAGGCCAGTCAGCCAGCAAGCCAGCAAGCAAGCCAGCCAGCCAGCAAGCCAGCCAGCCGAGCAAGCCAGCCAGCCAGCAAGCAAGCAAGCAAGCCAGCCAGACAGCCAGCAAGCAAGCAGGCCAGCCAGCCAGCCAGCAAGCCAGCAAGCCAACCAGCCAGCCAGCAAGCCAGCCAGAGACAGCCGAGCAAGCAAGCCAGCCAGCCAGCAAGCCAGCCAGCCAGCAAGCAAGCAAGCTGGCTGGCTTGCTGGCTGGCTGGCTGGCTGCTTGCTTGCTGGCTGGCTGGCTTGCTGGCTTGCTGGCTGGCTTGCTTGCTTGCTTGCTGGCTTGCTTGCTTGCTGGCTGGCTTGCTGGCTGGCTGGCTTGCGTTCTTGCTGGCTGGCTAGCTTGCTGGCTTGCTTGCTGGCTTGCTTGCTGGCTGGCTGGCTTGCTTGATGGCTGGCTTGCTTGCTTGCTTGCTGGCTGGCGCTGGCTCGCTTGCTTGCTGGCTGGCTCTTGCTGGCTGGCTGGCTGGCTGGCTGGCTTTCTTGCTGGCTGGCTTGCTGGCTGGCTTGCTTGCTGGCTTGCTGGCTGGCTTGCTTGCTGGCTGGCTTGCTTGCTGGCTGGCTGGCTTGCTTGCTGGCTGGCTGGCTGGCTGGCTTGCTTGCTGGCTAGCTGGCTGGCTGGCTTTCTTGCTGGCTGGCTGGCTGGATTGCTGGCTTGCTTGCTTGCTTGCTGGCTGGCTTGCTTGCTTGCTGGCTTGCTTGCTTGCTGGCTGGCTGGCTGGCTGGCTGTCTGGCTTGCTGGCTGGCTGGCTGGCTTGCTTGCTGGCTGGCTGGCTGGCTTGCTGGCTGGCTGGCTGGCTGGCTTGCTGGCTGGCTTGCTGGCTGGCTTGCTTGCTTGCTTGCTGGCTGGCTTGCTGGCTGGCTGGCTTGCTTGCTTGCTGGCTGGCTGGCTGGCCGGCTGGCTTGCTTGCTGGCTGGCTGGCTGGCCTGCTTGCTTGCTTGCTGGCTGGCTGGCTGGCTTGCTTGCTGGCTGGCTGGCTGGCTTGCTGGCTAGCTGGCCGGCTGGCTGGCTGGCCGGCTGGCTGGCTGGCTTGCTTGCTTGCTGGCTGATTGGCTGGCTTGCTTGCTTGCTTGTTTGGGTCTCATCGAAATTCAAGCAGCGAGAAAGTTCGGCTTGCCTTTTTCCTTCTTGGGCTGATCAAGCCTCAGGCCCCAGGGAACAGCCAAACGAGGGTATGGGAGTCTCCTAAGATAGGGACTGCAAACGGCGGGTTTGCCTTTCATTTGCATGAAATCCATCAAAGTCGAGGGGGGTCCTTGTTGAATGAAGCACATACGTAGGGAATCATAGGGATTTGCCGTATCAGGAAGCAACTATCCGATTAGTCGGCCGACTGTTCCAGATTTATTGAGGGGTCGAAGAAAGGGACTTTAGCCATCCTACTTGTTCACATCGAGCGAGCGATATTTTTGACGCCTGCATGCCTCAGGCGATTCATTACAAGTGACTCGGTTCCTGACGACATGAAGCTCGACAAGCCGTTAATGCTGATGTTGGACGTTGGACGTGTGAGAAAGTGAATAGGCTCACGCAGACTGCTGCCACATACTGCTGCTGTCCATACTGACGTGAATATTGCATACGGTTACATACTGCTACATACTGCTGCATGCTGCTACTTGCACCCTATGGACTGACGTTCGGACACAGATATTTCGGCAAATGAGGGAAAGCCCATACTTCAACATGCGATGGATCCCAGACTTTTTTCTAGCTCCATACGGTTTCAACACGGGTAACCCATCCCAAGTGTTGGCTCCCGCCTTCCAGTCAAACCAGCAAGGATGATCTCGGAGCAGGGGCTCCTCCGCGTCAAGGATGTTTGGACACCATGAAGTCAACCAACACGAGCTGTTTTTAGCGTTTCCCTCCAAAAAAGGGGGCATCCTTCTCAACACCGGTACGTGCTGGAGGCGAACCGGGCGCACAACGCGGGTTGCGTGGGGTTTTCCCCGTCTTTCCGCCAGGAAAACGTCCAGCTGGTGGCCTGCGCTAAGTGAGCCCCACTCGTTGCGCATGGCAACCGAGCGCCAGGACAAGGAAGCGAGATAAGTGGAGAAGCAGGATGACGTGAGTGTGTCTTTGTTCAAACAGTAGAACGTGTGTTTGTTGGGGTAGGGCATTGACCCCATCATGCATAGCAACATTATATATGTATTTTTTTTTTATATATGTATATACACATGCATATACGCATATATATATATATATAGGTATATGGTACCCCCCCCCATGGACCCTGGTTTGGTGAGCTTGAGCTGTGTTTGTCCAGTTTTTATGGCTTTTTGCCTCGTCGACTTTGTGGCAAAATTAGGGGGGCATATTTGTACACATATATATATATATATATACATGTGTACATACGTATGTAATGTAAGCAAAGATATCAACACCTGCCATCTGACAGAGTCTGCATCCATCTCGGAGTGTTGGAACAACCCTGTTTGTTTTTGTCAAACAACAGTTCTGGGATTGAGGATCCAAGAAGCTGAGAGCGTTATTTTTGGGAATCTTGAATCTTGAATACTCTAGGTGTTCCATACATACTTCTGCAACCAAGTATGCGCATCCATTTGCAGTCATATGCATTTCTCCAAGTTCCCTCAATTTCTGGATTCATAGCGAGAGGACAAGATTCTCGGAAAAGGTTTCAATCTTGAATATTCAATCCAGTGATAAACTACTTTCGATGTTTTAGAACAACTTGACAGCTTCTTGGCGCTGGCCCAGCTGAACAGTTTTTTGCGGGGCTAGCCAGGATTAATTCTCAGGAAAGTTGTTGCCTGTGCAATCTTCAATGTTGACGCCTCAATCCAGCGGCAAAGCACTTTCAAGTGTTACAAAGAACTGGAATGTTGTTTGGGTTTGGCCAGGATTGACGATTCAGGAACGATTCCTATGCAATCTTCAATCTGGAATCTTCCATCCAGTGGTAAAATACTTTTACAAGTGCATAGCGATCCAGTGGAACCGCTTTCGAGTTCTTAATTTGGCAAACTTTCAAGTGCTTTTGGTGAGCGGTTTGCTTCATGTAAGCTATGCTCATGTTGACCCTTTTCCAGGAGGTAAAGGTAGGTGTACTGCTGAAACACTGCATTTTACAGCATTTTATGAAGGCAGGAAGATGAGGGAGATGTATATATATATATAAGCAAGTATTTCGAATTTCCTTTTGGAAGTTCCTTAAATGTTTAGCCATATTTAATATGAATCATATTTGACAATTAGTTTCTATTTAGTCCGAAATCAAACGTGTTAGACGGTGTTTCAAAATGAACATTTCAAGGGAAGAGAGGTGCAAATTCTGAATCTACCTCGAAACAGGGATTCTAGCTCAATCAATGCTAATTGAATTATGTTTGTATTTGATTATATTTAACACTTGAATAAAATATATTTGTGACTTTGCTCCTGTCTGGTTGCTTTTGTTCCAGATTAGTTGGAGTTTACCCAAGATCATGTTTACATTTTCTTGTAGCTCCTACTTGAAAAGGATTTGTTTAAGTTATATTTGGATATAAAACACATTTTGGAAATCTATATCCTTACTAAACTATATTCACAATTAAAATTCTAGTTACAGTAAAATCCTATTTGGACAGGGCATCATATTGGGACATTTCAGACAACTCCGGGCTCCTAATTATCAGGCTTTGGGGACCCAAAATTGGAAATTCAAGAATTATTTTCTTTAGATTCTAGATTTGTCATCCCCAAAAGGCACTAAAACCAGGGTCCATGGGGGGGGGTTGCATATGTATATATAGGTACACGAATATGTCAACACATTTGTATCTATATATATATATATATATATGCACGCTTTGTGGCGTATCCATGTTTCACGGCAGAGACGGGAGTCACCAAACACATGACCACAGTGCTGGCTCTGAATGTAGAGGCATGGACCGGCATGTTGATTTCACAGTTTCCTTCACAGAAGCTACACCGAGATGTTTCCCCAATACCTTCGTACATCATCACCACAGCGCCATGTAAACCTGGTTTCCCGAATTTCGCACTTGGCATCTGCAACGCCGCACGCGTCTTCATGACGAACGAGCAATGGCAATAAATCGCGCCGACCGCAGTGCTTAGGAGAGACTGAGACATAAGGGCGTTTGCCTGATTTGGGAGGGCAGCAAGAGGCTTGCGCTTGGAGGCTTCATAATGAATGGGTCGAACGACGAACCCGAGCCAAGAGCACTGCAGACAGCCTGGATTTCGCATACTTCATTAGTTCCTTAGTTGATTGTCCCTCATCGCGGTGTCCACTTTTGCCCCTTGGATATTTTCCGTTTGACAGAACAAGCATGGAACGCAGTCTTCGGTCAACCTTTTCAGATGTCATTTGCCAACCACTGCTCGGCCCAGCTGTATTTGCTCATAGAATGGAAGTACAGGGCATTTCTAGTTTCGCCACGAGCTTCGATTTTCCCAAGTGATAAGCTCCCTAATTTGGAGGTCCAAGAGGGAGGGGGGGGGGCAGAGCAGCTAAACCGACTTGATCCACATCTCCGATTGGCCACGTGCCACGGAGAAAGAGGCAGATCGCCTTTTCCAGAGGGATGCCTCTGACACAGTTCTTCTTGTTTCATGGTTGGACCAAAACGGAACTAGACCCCGGGACTGAGGGCACAGAGTACCAGAGGCACCACTTTTGATAACCAGCCACCAAACCTCGCCCTGAAGGCAAATAGTCAAGACTATCCCCATAATGATCACCCACATGTGGGTGTCTTAAAATAGGGGAACTTCAAACATGCATGTCTTTCCTTTTGACTTCCCGACACCCCAAACGGGCACCAGCCAAAAACACAAACAACGCATCGGTTCACGTTTCTGCTATGGAGCTGGATGGCCGTGTGCTGCTGTCCGAGCACGTGTACCATGACCCTCGGCCCAGTGAGGATTTCGCCGCCATTCCCCGAAGCCTGCAGAAACCTTCTCGGGTTCTTACCATTTGCCAGAGAAACCTATGTGTTTCACGGCCATGCGCCGACATGCGCCCACGAAGCCTTGAGGATCGCACAAATGGAGAAGAAAAGGAAGGTGTTGGTTTGTTCGTAGGGATGAAGATGCCTTGACTTTCGTTTTGGTGGCTTAAAGTTGGCATCAACTTTCGACCTTCCCAGAGCTAAACTTTGATTTATTTAACCCTGGAAGGTCACAAGGCACCGACGGTGCCTTCCACGTTTTTTTCTGCACGAGAGGGTTGCAACCGCGACAAGAAAGTAATCACAATGACAGAATAAAGCCTTACAACGACAAGATGTGCATGTTATCCCGACAATGATAGAATACATAGGAAATGGTCATGCGAAGGAAATGCAAAGACACTACAGAGGAAATACAAAGGAAATGCAGAGGAAATGCAAGGGAAGTACAAAACAAATGCAAAGGAAATACAATTGAAATGGAAACAACATGCAAAGAACATGCGAAGGAAATGCAAAGGACACACCAAGCTATCGCAAAGGAAATACAAAGCAAATACAAAAATATGTCCATTGTATTTCCATTGTATTTCCTTCGTATGTCCTTTGGATGTCCTTTGTATTTCCTTTGCATTTCCTCTGTATTTCCCTTGTAATTCCTCTGTATTGTCTTTGTATTTCCGTCGCATTACTTCTGTATGTCCTTTGGATTTCCTTGGTAGTTGCTTTGTATTTCCCGCGTATTTCCTTTGTATGTCCTTTGTATATCCTTTGCATTTGCTTTGCATTTCCATTTCATGTTCTTTGTATCTCCTTTGCATTTGCGCTGTGTTTCCTTTGTATTTTCTTTATATGTCCTTTGTATTTCCTTTTTATGTTCTTTGTGTTTCCCTTGCATTTCCTTTGCATTTCCGCTTGCATTTTCTTTGTATTTCCTTTGTATTTCCTTTGTATGTCCTTTGTATTTCCTTCGCGTTGAGCTTGTATGTCCTTTGCATTTGCTTTGTGTTTCCTTTGTAGTACCTTCGTATGTCCTCTGTATTTCCTTACGCATGTCCTTTGTATTTCCTTTATATTTACTTTGTATGTCCCCTGCATGTCGTTCGCATGTCCTTTGAAATTCCTTTGAATTTCCTTTGTATTTCCTCTTGCATTTCATTTGTATTTCCTCTGCATGTACTTTGCCTTTCCTTTGCATTTCATGTGTATTTATTTTGTGTGTCCGTTGCATTTCCTTGGTATTCCTTTGTATTTCCCTTGAACTTTCTTTGCACTTATATCTTTGTATTTCCCTTGTATTTCCTTTGTATTTCCTTTGCATTCATTTCTTTATATTTCGCTTGTGTTTCTTTTGTATTTTCTCTGCATTTCATTTGCATCTCCATTGCATGTCCTTTGTATCTCCTTTGCATGTCCTTTGCACTTCCTTTAAATTTTCTCTGCATTTCCTCTGTATTTCCCTTGTATTTCCTCTGTATTGTCTTTTTATTTTAGTGCCTCCGGCTCAGGCCGCCGACATTACAGGCCTGCTTTCTTATTTGCGTCCCTTTGGAATTGTCCCCTTGCCCCCTTCCCCTCTGAGATTTTTGCCCCCCCTTTCTTTGTTGAGATCCATTCCCCCTTTCCGCCCTAAGGCCTTTTCTCCCTCTGATGTTTCCCTTTTCCTCCCTAAGATGTTTTCCCCGCTCTCCCTGTTGAGATCCTTTCCCCCCATTTCCCCCCTAAGGCCTTTTCCCCCCTGAGATCTTCACCCTTTTCCTCCCTTTCCCCCACTTCCCCCCCTACGGCCTTTTCCTCCCTGGGATCTTTTTCCTTTCCTCCCTGAGATCTTTCCCCCCCTTTCCCTGTTGAGATCCTTTCCCCCCTTTCCCCCCTACGGCCTTTCCCCCCGCTGAGATCTTCTCCCTATTCCTCCTTAAGGGAAAGGGGGGAAAAGATCTTTGGGAGGAAAATGGAAATCTTTCTCGGGGGGAACAGGCCCTAAGGGGCAATGGGGGGACAGGATCTCAAACGGGAAAGGGGGAAAAAGACTTTGGGAAGAGAAGGGTGGAGATCTTGGGGGGAAAAGGCCTTAGGGGGGAAACGGGGGAAAGGATCTTAAGCGGGAAAGGGGGGAAAAGATCTTAGGGAGGCAAAGGGAGACAAACTCAGGGAAAAGGACTTAGGGAGGAAAGGGGGGGAAAGATCTTTGGGAGGAAAAGGGAGAAGAACTGAGGGTGGGAAAAGGCCTTAGAAGGAAAAGGGGGGAAATAAATGATCTCAACAGGGAGCTGGGGGGGGGGGGGAAGATCTTAGGGAGGAAAGGCAGAAGATCTGGGGCAAAAAGGCCTTAGGGGGGAAAGGGGAGAAATGATCTCAACAGGGAAAGGGGTGGAAAAGATCTTAGGGAGGAAAGGGAGAAGATCTGGGGAAAAAAGGCCAACATGGAAAGGGGGGAAAAGATCTTCAGGGGGGGAAAGGCCTTGGGAGGGAAAGGGGGGAAAGGATCTCAACAGGGAAATAGGAGGTGATGACTGCATATTCATCTTCACCTTATCTTTGGGGCCCTTGTTGCCCCAAAAGCGGCATTTTTTAACACCTCATCCTTGCACCTCGGTGAGGTGTAAAACGAAAGGGTTACAATGAGGAGGTGGAAATGCACAGCACTTTTCACCTTATCATGGATGGGTTAGGCCTAACCTGCGCAGGTCGGTCCTGGACTGCACATGAGCAACGTGAGCTCGAAGGCCGGAAAGGGGATTTGCACCTTATCACGTGGAAGGGGGGTGGAAGGTCCAAGCGTTTTGACCTCATTGTGGCGTGCTCACGTGCAAAACCACAGCTACTTTTGGCTCTCCAAGCATCTTGTTTTTGGATTTGCAACCTTCCTGATGGCTTCCATCATGAATGTCTACGAAGAGTTGGCGCACTCTTTGGGGCTGACTGAGGAAGACATGGTCCAAATGGCGATCGTGGATTCGGAAGGGGACGCCAAGCAGCTCGCCCGGGCTTTTGAATCTATGGATCTGGGCTTGGGTATGCACAAGCTCCTTCGTGCCACGGTGCCTGGAGACGGGGATTGTATGTACCACTCTTTGATCGCCTCGGCGAAAGAGAAGGGGCACGACCTGGGGGCCGTCTTGGACGTGCGGGTGAAGGTGCACGGGGCGTTGGCGGGGTGCCCCTGGTGGTACCGGGACTACGTGGTTGGCCCGTACTGGGAGATGGTCAACGGAGTTTTGGTCCGCGGTACCTGGAAAAACGACGTGCAGCTGCAGGCCTTCTGCGACAGCAGTGGCCACGGGGTGAGGGTTTATTACCTGACCCCCGATCCAATCACCGAGGAGTACGTCCTTGCCAGCCACGTTAAGTGTCCCTGGGACAACGACAACCCCGGTCTCGTCTTGGAGGTTTGCAACATCCAGGCTGGGAAGCCAAAATAAAGCCTTTTTTTTCACCTCATCATTCTCAAACAGGCGGGGGTTCATGGAACTATCGCCTCATCATTGTCTAAAGGGGTGGGCGTTCTTGTCTTGGCATTGTCTTGGAAGGAGTGGCATTTCGACGCCGTTGTGCCACTCGACTACCTGGACAGAGCCCCAGGCAAAGCTGCAATCCCCGACAGTGAGAGAAAGGAGACGGGCGCGAAGAAAAAGGCTCGGAAGTCCAAGCCCCGCAACTTGGGCCACGACCTGAGTGCACGATCGCTTCCGGAAAACGCGCGGAAGCATAAGTACGCCATTGATGAGGGGGACATCGACCCTTCTATCAAGGAGTACTTTTACCAGACCGCCACCGCCAGTAAGGCCAAGGGGGGACGCAAGCGGCACGTCTGCGCCGACAAGACTGCCGGCATGCATGCGCCAGTTTCTGGGCTGGGCCAAGAAGGCGGGCCACTTGGAGAAGTACGCCGGGGGCAAAGTGCATCCGGCTGAGCTGCTGAAGAATAAGGATCTCCTCAAAAAGTACTACCAGCACTTCGAGGATGACCTCACGTGCCGTGGTACCAATTTCAGTCCAGGACAGATCATAGCGTGGAACGATGAGGTGAAAACCTTTGGTTTCTTTCCCTTAACGTGGAACAATTAGGTGAAAACGCATGAAGTTTCTTGGCAGGAGCCATCACGTTGGCAACCCGGGGCCTTGTTGTCTTGGCCCAGATCCTGCTTGCGAAGTACACGCCTGGAGGGAAAAAGAAGAAGGAGAAGGCGGTGAGTGAGACGGTGGAACTGCTCCGGGACCTGGGCCACTCCTCCGCGGAGCAGATGGCCATCAGAGGCCCCGGTCTCCCGAAGCCCGGCGAGGAGGTGGGCAAAGAGCTTCCGGATGCCGCTGAGATGGTCCGAACTTTCCAGCGGCACGCCTTGAAGCGGAAGAACCTCACCAAAAAGCTCGCGAAGCTGCCGGAGGACACGCCGTCCAACCAGTCTTCATACATGGTGGCTCGCCGTGCCAAGCTGGAAGCCTACAGCTTGGCATGGCAGTTCATCATGCAGACGACCGAGCGCTTGGGGACGACCCACGAGCTCGAACCTTATCTGTGTTAGCTTAGGTGAAAAAATGACATTTTTCACCTTATCTTTTCCTGATTGGGCCTTGAAAAGCATGACGTTTTCACCTTATCGTTTCATTTCTCCACCTTATCGTGTCCGAGGTTCTGAACCGCAACCTTTTGTGGTCAGAGGCAGAGCAGCGGTACTATTACGTGCCGGTGGGCGCGCATCCACAGAAAAACGCTCGGGCAAAAAGACTCGGACGGCACCACTTCGTGAGCAGGAAGTTCCTGTCGCAGGAGTGGTCCCAGAGCTTCCAGGCCTACATGGCTGACCAATATCCCCGCCTCATGGAGAAGCTGGGATATGGCGAGGAAGGGCCTGAGCCGGCGCGGCCTGGGGAGGCGAGCGGGCTCCCTGGTATGGGATCAAATATGACTCTTTCCGGAAAGGAATCCGGGATGTTGCTAAGACCCCATCCAC